ACCTTAATTTTTAGAGGAAACCTTGATTGAGTTTGATCTTCTCCCACAAGCACAAGACAAGATGCCATAAACCTTTCTCTTGAAGCCGTTTCTTCGATTCTTTTGCTTCATTTCGAATTCGATCGATTTCTCTCCCTCTCTCTCTCCCATAGACGTTTTTCTTATTCTTTCTGTAACGCTATGAATCGCGAAAGCCTGTACGGGGCTGGCGACGTTGATGACGATGACGAAGAAGACGATATCGGTGAAGACCTGGAAGATATAAGACGAGCCTGTATGGTTCCCGATGCCAATTCCGATGATATTACCGCAAAAACCGATTCTGTTGGAGCGGATGGAGGCGGTGGCGGCGGGATGCCGTCGGATTCGGAGAACGAAGACGATTTAGAGATGCTTCGTAGCATTAAGAGCCAATTAGCATCGTCGAAGGATGTGAATTTGTGCAATGGTCCTCCTATTGGTTTATCAGTGCCCTCGGATTCGGAGAGTGAAGACGACTTCGAGATGCTTCGGAGCATTAAGAGCCAATTGGCATTGTCGATGGATATGTGCGTTCCTCCCATGGGTTTATCCGACGACGATGAAGAGGATGCCTTTGAAACCCTTCGCGCTATTCGTAGGCGATTCTCTGCTTATCACAATTTCGGTAAGATCAATGGTGATATCTTCTAATACTTGTCTCTTTTCTATCTGGTTTAGCTACTGATTCGTTAGATATCGTTTTCTGTGTTATCTTTGGAATGTTCGTTCTATGGTTTATCTGAAGACACTGCTTCAAGTGATTAAGATAGTTTTGCTGCTGGTAAGATTACTTTGGTTCTCTTCCCTTTCACAATTTGAGGCTAGTTATAACTTATAAGGCTCTATATAGAAGCTACATTCACTGTGAAAGATGCCGACTTTCTTTTGTCCTCTTTTGCTTTCAACCCTCCGTTTATGCATATATGTATCCATTGTCCCTGATTGAATAAGGTAGAAAGTCTCTCTTTTGAAAGACATCATGCTGCAGTAGGCTGCACAGTTTATGATGGATTCATGATGCAAGGATTTAAGTGAAAATTTGTATGTACTGTTGCGTGTCTCTCGTCTTTTTTAAAATATGCTATGCTTTATTGGTAATTTCTTTCTATGTTCCATGCAGATGCAGAAGGAAATTTCAAGAATGAATCTCCAAGGAAGAAAAAGCAGGTACATGCCTCGGATAATGAACCTTCAAGCGAAATATTGAGTAGATCTAATACTTATGAAAGCTTTCCAGATCACGGGAAATCAGTTGTCACAGTGCCAGATTCAGGGGAAGCACAAGCTGGTCATTCTGATGACGTACATGAGAAGACTGCCCTTGAGCCTCTTGATCAGCTGGAAACGTGCCAATTACCTCTTCTGCCAGCTGCGAGTTCAAGTTTCCCTGAATCTGCACAAGCCTTTGTTGATGCAATCCGGAGGAACAGGTCATATCAGAAATTTCTTCGAGGAAAATTGAGTAAAATCGAAGCAACAATCGAGCAGAACGAGAAACACAAGAAAAATGTTAAGATAGTTAAAGATTTTCAAGCTTCTTGCAAGAGAATTACGAAACAGGCACTTTCTCAGAGGAAAGATCCTCGTGTTGAATTAATCTCAGCACGGAAATCTGGACCTCCTGATAGCTCCGAGGTAACGCTTTTTGTTCTAATTATCCCGCCTCTCCTGTTTTGTAGTCATTAAAAAGGTACTTCTCCGGCTGTTTTCTGTTTACCCTGATGGAAAGTGTTTCATTTTTTGTTTTGTTTTGTAGGGTAATGATAAAAAGACATTTCCTTTGACATTGGGTCCTCCGGAAAACCTTTGTGTTTCACGTTATAGGATGGCTCTAGAGAAATATCCAGTTTCAGTGGATCGCAGAAATTGGTCTACTGAGGAGAATGAAAATCTTGCAAAAGGTCTAAAACAGCAAGTTCAAGAAACACTCATTTATGAAGCTATTGACCAGTCCAGGTACTGCTTGCTCTTCCACTTCTAAATTGCTATCATTTTCAGATGCAGAATTAGTATAATGTTTTTTTCTTTTTTCTTTGTTATTCCGATTGAGTTGACTGACATCAATTTCTTAACAGTGACTTGGAAGGACCTACAGGTGATATAAACTCCATTCTTGAATCGATAAAAAATCTTGTGATCACACCAGAAATGATTAGGCAGTTTCTTCCGAAAGTTAATTGGGAGCAATTGGCCTTGAAGGACCGCTCTGCTGCAGAATGTGAAGCTCGGTAGGTTCCTCCTCTAATTGAACTCTGATTACTCATAAATCAGCTTTAATTTGTGTATGGGTGCACATTTTAAATACCAGCACTCTGTTTCTTCTTTTTGAGAATTGAGTGGATTTTCAAAATTTGTGCTTGATTGTAGGTGGATGAGCTCGGAAGATCCATTGATTAACCATGGTTCATGGACTGCAGCGGAGGAAAAAAATCTAGGGTTAATTATTCAAAAGAAGAGTTTTACAGACTGGCTTGACATTGCGGTATCACTAGGGACGAATAGGACCCCATTTCAATGTTTGGCTAAATATCAAAGAAGCTTGAATCGAGGCATATTGAGAGACAAATGGACTGCAGAGGAAGATGACCAACTCTGTGCTGCAGTAGACTTATATGGCGAGAAGGACTGGCAATCTGTTGCAAATGTATTTGAAGGAAGAACTGGAAAACAGTGCGCTACTAGGTCAGTGATCTTCTTCATTCTCCCATGTCTTGATGATTTAGATCTCAAATTCCGTAGTATACTGAAAATTTTATCAGATTAAGCTGTAGACAAATCACTAAACATAGGTAAGTTCACATGTAGGAGCGAGCTAGCTTGTTTGGCTAAAATTCTACCGGGTTTATTAACCACACATCAAGTCCATGTTTAGTCATAATCATAACCTAAATATGCAGTCACTGATGTTTTTTCTCCTGCCATTTTATATTGTTTGTTTCTGTCTGA